TTTATTACATCTAAGATATTAAAATATATTGTAATATATCTAATGAATTTTTAATAATCATATCTTTATAGAATTATATCATATTAACGTGAACACATATTATAATATACATATATGTGTAATATCATGTATGTATGTAAGAATTTCTCATATTAAGGACTATTAGTTTTAATCGATGAACTTGATTACGTCATTTAATCGAATAAAATCGTGTCAATGGATCAAGATAAAGGGTCATGTGATCGAATAGACAGGTTAATTTCTAAAGAACTTTACCCATTTAATTCTCATTGCATTCTCATCCGTAGAAAAGGTGAGTCGTAGGAGTAAACTAATCGATATTACGAACACATTAGCGGCCTAAACAAGTTCTTTTAACAATAGATAAATGTTTCTGCAAGTATCTGTTCATATGTGTGTGTATATATGAATTATAAAAGCATGTATGAAACTTCGTTCACAATTACTATCTATTATGTGCGTAGGGTAAAAGTGGAGAAGGTGAAATCATTTAACTCCTTTATCTTGTCTCCATCTGATTGTCTTTGACAACGAACATACTACACAACATAGTTAATAATTTTACCATTGAAACTTATTTAGTTCGGTCATTGTCTTTTACGAACATACTATCTTTATGAAGAATAAAAATACGATCTTTGACCTTTAACCGGTGCTTTTTAATCTTGCAAAAATAAAAACTAATTTTCTATTGATTTCAATCGATTGATGATGATTATTATTATATAGAAATAATTATTTTAATATATAATTTAAAATTTTTTTATTAAATATGTAATATATATATATATATATTAATATTTATTATTTATTATTATTGTAAATATATATTTAATAATTAAATTATTTATATATTATATATTGACGCTATATATTAAATTTAATAATTAATATTAAATATTATATATTGCAATATATTGCAATTGTATCCAATATTATATATATATAAATATATATAATTATTAATAAATTGAATTATATAATATATTATATTTAACAATTAATATATAATTATTAAATATATAAAAAATGGAACTACTAAACTATATTTAATCGAAATGATATTAAAAAATAAACATTGACACATTTCACTGTCAATAATAATCGACACGTATATGTGTGTGTGTGTGGGTCTCTGGTATAGTTTTTATCCTAAAAAAAAGAAAGTAAAATAAAAAGAAAAAAAGAGATTGAACAAAAATATTTTCGTATTTCATTATTTACACGTACGTTTGTAACATAAGTAAACAAGAAATAAAAAAGCGTACAAATATCTTCCTTTCCTTTTTCCGGTTTATTCAAAATCCTCGCAAATATACTTTCCTTTTATCCGTCAGTTTCGTAACTTCGAAAGCATCGATCGAGAATCTGGCCGAGTTGAATAAATTTTGGTTATGTGGTGGCACTGGTTATTATTATTATTATTATTATTATTATTATTATTATTATTATTATTATTATTATTATTATTATCATTATTATTGTTATTATTATTATTATTATCATTATTATTATTATTATTACTATTACAAATTTATTTTGAATGTTACGCAATAAATGCTGGATATTATTGCACTTCTCGTAAAAAGGGAATGAAATTTTCGAGATATTAAATTGCCAAAATAAAACGTAAATAAAAAAAAAACTTTTTACTCAATTTATCGAAATAAATTCTACTATTATTTAATAACAATATTAATAATAATTTATATAAGCAAGCATAAATGATATAAGTAAATTACAAACATGTTGTACACACAAATATATAAATCAAACTTTAAATTAATCAATTTTAAATCCGAGACATACTAAACGATCTATTTGAATTCTTATTGTGTTCTATTTGATTAGGATGATTTATATATTAATTAAAGCTAACCACTAACGAGCAAGCCAATTCATGTACGTTGAGTACGTACTAACAATTACAAGCAAATTCCAGGAGGATGAAATTGAGATGAGTTATCGGGGAAGACAATTTATCGTTTGATGACAAACATAAATTTAGAGATTCAGATTTTCATTGATTATTTTCATATTTTCATAAATGTTTGTTCAATCAATAATTTATAATAACAATAATACGCATTAATAATTGTCATAATTGTTTTTAGACATAAAAATACAAAATTGTTCATTGCTATACTTGTTTTCATTGATTATTTTATAATTTCATAAATGTATGTTCATTCAACAATTGATGATAACAATGATGAACACATTAAAATTATTAAAATATAGTTATACAATAATTGTCATGAAATTCTCTATTCAATCTACCATTAAAGACAACCTAAATTCAAAACAACTACAGGTCTCCCTTCAACAATACGGTAGATAGGTTCCTAGAAAATGCCGTGTTATTTGAAACCGTGTTGTTTGAGACCTAGAGCCAATGCAAAAGGGAGGGTTACGTTCTGAAAACTTTTTCAAAACAAATGTTTTTTTTTCTTTTTTAAATAAACAACTTAATTTTTATTAAAAATATAAATGTATGTGAACAATACAAAACAAAAAATATTATCCTATTTTAAAGTAACTTTAATTTAATTTATTTCTTCGTCGTCACTACTCAATTTAATCGACCGAAAACGTTTTTTCGATGGAATGATATCGCCTTCACTTTCAGGACGTTTTTCTTCAATTAAAGTTCTTGCGTTTTCTTCCCTCTTTAAAAAAATTTGTTTTCTACTTTGCTTGTTGTTTATTACCAGGTCATTGTAAATTTATCGGTATGGAGTTAGACAGTTTTGATGCTCCCTTTTGAATTTTCGGCTCCTTTATGTGGAAAGATCTGCATTTAAGAAAAATGACTCCAGATTTTCAGCTAAGTTTAGGGCTTCTTGTAATATTTTTAATGTTAACCTATTAACAGCACAAACTTCATCAGTGCTAGTGTCCCCAGGATCAATTTGATTTACAGTTTCGGATACCATTTCCATCAAATCCGCTTCGTCAACTTCTTCTTCTACTAATAAACCTTGAACGTCCACAATAGCCATATCCACAAAACTTTCGCCTCCGATTGATTTAGCAAGTTCTAATATGCTACCAATCTCATTTTGTGACGATTCACGCACGTTTTCTATTTTAATTGAAGAGATCCATATCTTCTTCCAACACGCATTTAACGTAGATGTTTTTAATTCACAATAGCGTGAGACATTTTTGTTTTCAGGCCATGGAGATGAAAAGAAATACTTTTCGCAACACTGTATCTTTAAGACGGTAAGCCTCGCCGCGGCTGTAGAAGTTCAATGTTGTAAAAAGGTTTTTTGAAAGAAAACCGTTTTTAGGATGCCGTGTTGTAGGAGGGTTCCCGAAATTATTAATCGTTTTCTAGCGAAACCGTGTAATTAGATACCGTGTAGTTGGAGGATTTGCCGCAATTTGTGAATCGTGTTATAGCGGAATCGTGTTAGGAGAAATCGTGGTGTTGGAGGGATACCTGTATAATAAATATACTAAAATATCTTAAGCAAATTAGTATGTATAATAAAGTATAATGTATAACTCTTATGTTGCTAATAATCCTCGATGGTTGATGCGACATTAAATAAAGCTATATATATATAAAATAATTGTCATAATTGTTTCTAGATAAAAAGATACAATATTATTCATTCCTATACTTTTTTGTTTGTTTTTATTTCACATCATCGAGAAATATATTTTGAATTTAGTTGAATTTCACTAATGTAAGCTAATTTTAGAGAAAAGGTTTTTTTTTTTTTAAATAATGCATTAATATTTGAGTAATATTTATCGATGATTTTGAAAATAATCAACCTGACAGTCAAGTGTTAAAAAGAGAGACAGAGAGAGAGTGAAATCAATATTTTCGAATAACTTAAATTTATCTCAAAAAAAAAAAATTCGAACGAACGCGTTGGCCTTTCGAAAAGAAAATTATTGTATACTAAATTACTTTTGTTGGCTAAACTAAAGATAATAAATTTTTATCTTCTTAACCTTATTGTTAGTAGTTTAATAAATGCAAAGCAATCAAAACGAGTCTCGTTTATTGCTTTTGGAGATTGATTAAAATAAATAAAACAAGAATGAGAGAGAGAGAGTGAGAGAGAGAGAGAGAGACAAGTGAATTCCTTAGCGTATCGTTACAAACCTATCTTTATATCGTTTTTTATGCGTAATTAAAATTTCTTGTTTACAAAAAAAAAGGAAACTCGAGAATGCAAAAAAATAAATAAACAAACTTTGAAGATATAAAAAAGTAATCGTGAATTTGTGGTTGTTACACGTGAAAGATAACATTGAACTTGTTCGATATCGAGTTATACGTCGAGATTATTAAAATCATTTTAATAATTTACATCAATAAATATTTATGTAAAATTGAATGTAAAATATCTCGACCCTTCAAGCAAATAAATAGAAATTTTGTATCATTTATTATCAGTGATATTTCGTGATGATTCAAAAGCTTGCAAATTTAATATCATATTTGAAGAAAAAAAATTTATTATTTTAACAAGTTTATAATTTAGAAATATTATTGAACTTATTTTTTTATTAATAAAATAATTAAAAATTTACTAATAAAATTTAGTAATAAAATGTTATATATAATATAATATTTTAATTAATTTTTATTTAAAATTTTATGTATATAAAATAATTTTTGGATATTATATAATTTTTATAAAATATATTATAATATATTTTATTTATAAAAAATTATATTATTATACAATTTAATATATAAAAATGTATATAATATAATATAATATTTTATTTAATTTTATTATATTATAATATAAATTTGTATTTATTTTTTATTTAAAATTTTATATAATAAATATAAGTTTTTATTATATATATATATATAATATATATATATTTAATATATATATATATATATATATATATTATATTTTCTTTTATAAGTTTAACGTTATGCATAATTTTTTTAATGAGAGGATTAAAAAATATGAAATAAAAGAAAAGAAACTTACCGAGCATTTTTAGAACTTTCTTCGAATTTCTGCCAGGATGATGTCTACAACTTCGTTGAGATTCTCCACCACCATTTCCAGGTTTTCTCTTCATCATATTAGATTTTCTTAATTTAAGACCAATAAGAACGTACAGTACAGTAATAAGACTCATTGGTACTATGAAGAATAAGAAAGTTGACATCTCAAATGAATGTTTTATTATAACTCGTTTCACCGTACACATAACGATATCTTGATTAGGATTAACAACACCAAATTGTAATGCCTGTGGTAAAGCGAATGACAATCCAACTAACCATATAACTAGGATTAATTTAACTGCACGTGATAATTTTGACATTGTCTGTGACAAAAATGGATGACAAATTGCAACATATCTTTCAACAGTAAATGCAGTGATCGTTAAAACTGATGCATTTGTTGAAGTTTCAGCAGCCAATCCACGTATAACACAAAAACCTTCCCCAAATATATAAGAATATTTACACCATACCAAATACATTTCGGCCGGTAAACCGGATATTAAAAGCAACAAGTCCGATATTGCTAAACTAAAAAGATAATAATTCGTTGCAGTGTGCATCGACTTGTTGCGTGCAATAACTATACACGTGCTTATGTTACCTATAGTACCACTTATGAATATAGATGCATAGATTATGGTTACGGGTATTACTATATACAATGAATCCCTTCTTATTACGGTAGGTGAATTTTCTTCGTTAAATATACTTGTAGTATGATTATGATAACACGAATCACCACAGTTCAATTGGGGAAGAATATTATCATAATTCGTTGAATAAAATGCACTTGTTGGTGCTACTAAACTGGATGACAGTGTATTATCCATGATTTATTATTTTTTTTATTATCTTCTTTTCTTTAAGATCATAACTTATCTAATTGATGTTTGATTTTTATCTCAGATTTTTCTTCCATTAACATTCTTTGATCCAGATTTCTTTCTTTTTTCACTTTGTATATATATATGCTTTTTTTGGATCTTTATTTAAAACTTTTGTAATCGATCGAAATAAACGTTTAATTTCACTTATGATTTTTTTGTTTTCGTTCGTACGTTCGAAAATAAACGTATGGCTTTTTGTGTTATTTAAGATCTCGAAGAAGAGTTGAGAGGATTTTTTTGGCTATTTTTCTTCTGCTGACTCTTAATTGATTTTGCACCCACGTGACATTGGTAAGAATACGTAGGAGGTTTACGAAAAAGAGATCGTTTCTTTTCTTTACTTTTTTTTCTTTTCTTTTTCTTTTTCCTCCCCTTTTGTAAGTTGATTTTGATATCCACGTGATACCTCGAGAATGACACTCGTGAAGAAGATAAAGTAGTACAAATAACAAAAAAAAGGATTATAATTTTATTATAAAATATATATACTTATATAAAATTATTTTATTGTGTGAGGGAACAATATAAACAATAATAGGGGTTAGCAAAATAAAAAATAAAAAAGTGGAACTTTTACAATTTGTTCCAAACCAAACGAAAAAACAAATACAAAAAAAAAAAAGAAAAAAGACAATAAATTTGAAAACCAATGAAAATATTTTTTTGTGTACCCTCCCCTTTTCCCAAGAGACCCCAAAAAAAATTCTATACACAATTCTATGTAACAAATATATTTTTTTTGTTCACATATAAAGCAAAAAACTTGATTTTCTTCGGATAAGATTAGAATGGGGTCCGTGAGAATAATAAATAATAATAATAATAAAAAAAAAAAAACAGAGTGAAATATTAAAGAAGAAATATCGAGGGTGGAAAGGTAAGGCAAAAAAAAACAAAAAAAGTATAATTATAGTTATTAAAATATTAACGCGCACTCACACACACGCGAACCCGTCATGAGTGCCGCACGAATCGCGACTGATGTGAGACGTTCAAACACAACCGTGAAGAGGAGGAAATACCGGCCGGCACTTTCTGCGTCGTCTCTGACCATCCACCTCCACCTCCTCCTCTTTTTCCACCTCTTCTTCCACCACCTCCTGCACCACCTGATTTTTCCTCCGCGAAGAAGAGGGTATTACAATTATCTGTAATAAATCAGAGTACTATTTAATCCGTGGTTAATATGGGTCCTATGACTTATTCGGGCCCAATGACCAAAACCTAAATACGATTAACGTATTAATTAATTTAATAAGAGGATCAAAACAAATATTATGTTCTGATTTGTTTTTTTACCTGACCAATTTCAAGTCCAATACGAAGTTTAAATATATTTTATTGTGTGGAAATATAATATGGAATAAAAGTATATAATAAAACATATAATAAATATATAATAAATATATAATAAACATATAATAAATATATAATAATAATAATAATAATAATAAACATACAAAAAATAAATATATATAAATAAAAATAAAAATAAAAATAAATATATAATATCGATAAATTGTATATTATTGTACATAATTGTATATAATTGTATATAATAATTTGTAATACAATACAATACATTACAATATTTTATTATTAATATATTTAATAATATATTTAATAATGTATGCAACTATTATTATATATCCAATTATTTTTTTATATACTCTTCGAAATTATTATTATTATTATTATTATTATTATTATTATTATTATTATTATTATTATTTATATTTTTTTTTCTTTTGATCCAATAATTCAAATGTTTAAGATCACTGAATTGTAAAATCAAATTGCATTCTTAACTTTCTTGTCTGATTTCTTTTAATTTTAATTTTTTTTTTTTTTACTATTATATTTTAAATTTGTGAATATACAAAGTACTTTAGTGGGATGGACACTTTATTGTCATTTTTGAATTTTGTAAAGAAGAAAGCTTTTATTTTTTTTTTATATATGACAATTATTGTTTAGGAAAGATTGATAGATTAAAAAGTTTTCAGAAAAGGGTCCCAAATCTTTCTTAATCTTTCCTCAGCTAAATAATGAAACTTTAGTGATAGAATTGTATCAGTATTGGTTAAAACTTAGTTGACACTTTGTAAATTGGATTTCGTGCACTTGAACGACCATAATACGATATCTTATATGTGGATTTAAATAGACAGATATTAGTGTAATAATAATAATAACTAAATAAATAAATAAATCATTGAGATAGATGCAGAATATGTTGCATTGATTTATAATCAAATGTCTTCTTATATCAAATTAATGTCTTACAATAAAATGAACAAATTTATTTATGAATGAAATAAATTTTATTAATTAGAAGAAATTTAATATATTTGAATTAAATTCTTAATATTAAACAATGTTTAAGAGCCATTAATCATTTTCTACGCGGACATCAAATCGATTCATAATTAAAATATGTTAATAAGTTGTAAATTGAAATTTATTATAATAAAATAATAAAATTTACTGATTAATTGATATTACAAAAAAAAAAAAAGTATCTAAGAATAATTTTAAAAAAATTTATATTTTTAATGTGATATTAATTAATTATAATAAATAATTTAATGTGAACATTAAAAAAAATAATATTTATTTAAAATATTATTATTCCATTATAATATATAATATAAAAAATAATTTATTATTACCTTTCTTAATTCATAAATTAATTTCTTAATAGAGTTATTGAATTTACACGTACGATGGGTTTTGTAACATTCGATTGATTGATTAAATTCGTTCATATGTAAACACAAATCAGTGTGAGTAGCACGTGTTCGAGAGAGTCACGTGCTTTTCCTACTCGCTAAAATAAAATAAAGACATTTAAAGTTGCGAAACTACTATATTGGATAGTTCTCAGAATAGATTTGTTCAGTTTTTTCTAATTTGCTGGTTTTTTCTTTATTTTATTTGTGGATGAGTCTTTTTTTGGGAAGGAATGAATAAAACAACGTAAGATGAAGGGTCGAATTTAATCATCATTTCTATTTCGAGATGTGATACCATCTTATATCATCTATAACTGTCTAAATATTATCAATATGGTATATTTAGATGAGCTTACTAAACAAGCAAAAAAAGATAAAGTATCAAAAAATATTTTTGAAATGACGAGGACTAGAAAACGATGATAAAAAAAAAAACATTTTAAGCCTTTTCAAAGATTCATCGAATCAGAATAATGGATATAAAAGTGAATATAAACTTACCTATAAAGATATCGAGATAATAAATGTCAGGTGTTGTTGTATAAGAAAATATAAAAAAAAAAATATCACACACACACATCTATATATAAAAGGATAAGAATATTTCGTCCATTTATATTTTCTTTTTTATCATGAACAATATGGAAAGATATAAACAAAAATCATGTAAATATTTCTGGTTAACAAAATGGGGAATTTCTTTTCATAAAAAGTTTCTCAATTTTTTTTATACTATTAAATAAAATTATAACTTAGTTCGAATAAAATTTTATCTATGAGGTCTTTTTTATCTGAGACGACGTTTCAATGAAACTTTGGATTTTGAAAATTTGTGTGAATTTTTTTTTTAGTATTTTATATTAAAAAGAAAGAAAGAAATTTTGTATTTGAGACGATAAAAAGGAAATTAATTAATGCAAAAAAAAAAAAAAAGAGATTTTCATACCGTTTGTGTGCAAATGAAGTAATAAATTCGTGTCACCTTGGATACCTGATGTAATTAAAATAACGATGGAAACTTTTGAATCATGGGGGACGGTCAAGATTATTATTGCAAGTTGAAGTTTAACCAAATTTGAAATTTTTCTTCTTTTTTCTTTTTTTTCTTTTCGATAAGACGTTTGAATAATTTAGTTATAGTATTCATTAACTTAATGTTAGTTTGATACGATTTAATATTAATTATATATTTCTAAAATAAAAGAATTATTCTTCTAGAATAAAAGAATATTTCTAGAAGAAATAATCTAAAATATATATAGAATTAATATTATTTATAATTATTTAAAATTCTATAAAATAAAATTTAAAAAATAAATATAAAAATAATAAAAATAAATAAAATTTAATAAAAATTAAAATAAAATTTAAAAAATATATATTTTTAAATATATATATATATATATATATAAACTTTTGCTATCCTAAAGAACAATAATAAAAAATAAAAATAAATGGTAAAACTCATTGTAGTTAGTTTTCCTTTTGTTTTTTTTTTGGTTTCCAAAAATTCGAAGTAACAATTAATCTTTTCTACTAAATTGGCAGAAACACAAGGCAACTGTCATAAATTAATTGATAAAAATGGATTTGTCTCAGCTAAGAATATTTTTTTCTTTTTTCTAATATATATATATATATTTTAAAAATAGCCAAGATTGTGTGTGTGTATGTGACGTTATTCGCGATCGTATTTTCACAGAATTTTAATAAACATCTGTGACTACTTTATAGTCATCTCGTATGATGTTTTTGAATGTTGTTTTCTATATGACACACATACATTGTAATTTTATATATATGTATATGTATAATGTTCAGTGGATTCCTTTTCACGAAAACCTAGATTTACTTAAATACAAACTCACGTGTGAATACATGAGTGAAAGACCTAAAACGTTGCAGGAAACCATAAGTATAAAAACCCATTGGGTTTTCAACGAGAGATATCCTTATTATTTATCTTCTCTTCTTTTCTATATTTATATATTTCTCCGTAACATTGTTTTTTCTTTTTTTTTTCTAGTAGTAAACTTTTATCAAATCTAACAAACAATTTCCAACAAAATAAAATAACGATGCTAACTTTTAAAAAGCAATAACTAAATTTAAATTACGTTTTAAGACCGGACAACAAATAAAGAACATTATGATAAGATAATCTATACAAAAATAATAAATAAATAAATAAATATATATAAATAAATAAATGACAAGAAAGGATAGTATAATTATATAATATAACATATCCACACATGTAGGTTAACGTAATCAAGCAACGATAAGCTTTTCACCGATAATTCACATAATTTGCATAATTTGCATAATTAATATACAAAGTTGTATATATATATATATATATATATATATATTACATGTATATTTAATAAATTATTTATTTACCCATTTAAAATATGTTTCATAAAAATTCATATTAAATTGTAATAAATGTTACAACAGCAAAAAAATAAAAATAGAAAAAAATCGTCAATCATATCAGCAATTTCTGATATTCTTACATCAATATTGAGAAATAAAAAAAAAAGGGAAAAATATTTATCGCAATGAAAATTAAATCAAACTTTTCTACAACGATCAAAAGATTTTCTTATGTGGATTAAAATAAATTTATCTTGGAGATAAGAAAACTTGGAAATATTATTCAAATGAATTACGAGAAAGCTTTTTCCTTTTTAATCGCG